TCTGTCTGTGTGTATGTATGTATGCATGCATGCATGCAGGCATGCATACATCTATGTATGTATAGACACATATAGATATAGATACTGATATAGATATAGCGCTTTCTATCTTTCTCTTCGTTCGGCCTCCTGCTTCGGCATCGCAGAGAAGGCACACGCGGCAAAGAAGTCAGAGTATTCCCAGAAAGTTACAACAAGCTAGTGTCAAACGCGTTTTTGTCCAGAATCGTCCAATGCCTCTCTGCCTGGCCTTGGGTCGTCGTGCTAGGCTACGTATTCCACAGTGTCACTGGGCAGGGCTTCCTCTTTCCTCGCCTGTAGGCAGCAAAGTGGGGCGCTCTCTTACTATGGTTGAGATCGTCTACTTGTGGTGTGACATGCTCCTACATCTGCTGCCTTGATGCGGCGGGCCGGCATGAGGGCAGGAAGTGTTCCACAACACATCAGTCAACTCTCAGTTCGAGGCGACCCCCCGGCAGAGACTTGTTTTGACTGCCGGGACCTAAGACCTACGCCCAGATCGGTTAGCAAATGATGTGCAGCAACTCCTCGCTTGGTTGCCAAACACAGTGAGCTGCAAGGCAGAAAAGCGCATCAGATGGGAATTAGTCCGCTGGCAGCTTGTCATGTAATGTCGACCTCTCGCCAGATCACACGAGGCTTTGTTTGTCCTTATAAGTCTACCAGAACCGCCGCCAGTGGTGGCACAGCATCCCGCGTGCTCGAAGTCGCAGGAGCGATATTGGCTGCACAAGCCGAGAGATAAGCTCCAAACCTCAAGCTATGATATGCTTCAAGTAGCACAGGCTCGAATGCTGTGAGCAACCCAGACGCACGTTCGTGGTGCTGAGGTTGCTTCTTCGTCAATCACAAAGCTGCGAGACTGCGAATTGGTAGGCTAATGTGAGGAAGCGCTCAACTGTCCGGTTGACATGGAGGGACCATCGTGCTCGAGCGGAGTGAACTATGCTTCCGCCGAGAATATGCGGTATGCAAGACTATCTGGAAGATCAACGGAAAACATTTGCCTGGCAAGTCTTGGGATACAGCAAATGAGCGTCCTCACAATCACATGGCGATCAGTCCATGTGTGTTCATTGATCGTGCGGGCAGCAGCACGGCTTCGTCCTGACAGCTGCAGGAAGTCTTCCAATTCCGGGCATGTTTCTGGAACCCATCACAAGGAGCGGACCGAGGCATGCCCAGAAAAGATTACCTGAAAGAAGTTACACCGAACTGCTTTCAGAAGCCGATGGCGTGATATAAACTGTAGCTGAGTCTCTTGAGGACCGGAACGGCGCAGCCTGCGAGTGTGTATTCGACTAACCAGGACATTGCAGTAGACAAATCCGCTCTCCTTCATCCCTTCACGTCTTGCCCGCGTCGCCCAAAAGGCTGCACTCACACTCTTTGTCACTTACTCTGCATGCTTTCACCTCGTGTAGTCTTTAGTTGGTCTCAGGCCTTTGACTTCGTCTTCCAGTACTCGGATAGCGTCGTCCAGTGGGAGCAGCTTGCGGCTTAGCCTGCAAGCGAGATGCGTTGTACCAAGTGGTTGCTTGGCCCTCGTGACGCGTGTCTGACTGGACCAGGGGCTTATAAGAAAGCAATATCAACGGCACTTCGCAGGAGCCAGAACGAGTCTAGGATCAAAAATGTCTTTTTTTTTTGTGTCAAAATGTCTTTTTTTACGTTTGGTCCTAAGGTTTAGGGGTTTAAGGTTTAGGGTTTAGGGAAGGGCTCAGGATTCAGGATTTACGCTTGGCCGAGACTC